TTTTCATACCATAAAAATTATGTCTAAGACATTTTGTCGAAAAATGAATAGTTTCGGAAATAATTGTTTGCTTCCATACTTTTTCCCCACCCTGTATAAATTGATCAGATTACAAATTAGTTCAGATTACAAATCATCAGATTACAAATTGCATATATTATAATACTTTAATTAGCATATTAAAATAAGACGTAGAAAATTAAATTAATTTACGATAGTGATATAATAAGCAAAATAATGGAAATCATTTATTTGCATTACGCAATATCTTCATTTATGATATCTCTTGTTATAAAATAATTTCTATTTAAAATCAATATAATTATAGAAAGTAATTCCCGTTTATATAAGTAATTATACAGTTGGACGTTCTATATAATCTATAAGTGATCTGTAAAACACTGTACAGTTCAATAGTCACAAAACCATAACCATAGTGCATCCCAAGCAGTCCAAACATCCCGGTTCATCTCTTTCTGTCTTTATTCCCCCCTCCCTTCCCCCCCCTCTCTCTCTCTCTCTCACCCTATCATGCACTCTTCTTTCGATGCTCACGCAAGCCACCCTCTGTTTCGGGCGAACGTCAACGCGTGGGTTACCCCACAGCGTCGTCTCGACCCCCGCAAAACCACCCGCATCCCCAACACACGCTCTCTTCTCCCCTTATCTAGTTCTCTTCGTGCCTCGACGATGTCTCGTAGATGTACTGCACAAAACTCGAGGGTTGTTCGAGACAAGCGCTAGGTCATCAACCTTGATTTCACGAAGCAATAGCTTGGAAAAAAAGTTCCATATTGACGATTTACAATATGATACCGAGTTTCGAGAGAAAAACAGATTAATAATTGGTTTTGAAATTTTACTTTTCACGAAAAATAAGCGAATTTTTTTCGTTAGTCAAGAAGAAATTTCGGAGATGTACTAGAATACTTTCAACATAAAACTTGATTTTTCTTTCATTAATTATTTAATTACATGGAACAGAATAATTAACAGAATAATATTAACAGAATAATATTCTAGAAATGAGAAGTCTCTGTAAAATCAAAGAATTAAGGCAGTTTTTAATCAGTCTAAAATGTTTCCGTCTAGATCATCATTCCACTTGAAGTGCAGGGATATCTTGACTCGTTCCCCTCACAATGCAGACATATCTCTTTACGGCTCACCCTACCGTAGAGTTGCATTACCGTCCGACGCTGATCCGTGACGCTTGTAAGATTTGTACGACGCGTCAAAAGTCAGTCTCGGATATGAGACGTGACGTGGTAAGTAGTCTTGCCATGTTACTGAGCGTACTGATCCACGTACAGGTCAATATGTACTAGAATCCATATAAGTGCACGTCTGTGTTTCACGTGGCAGAATATATTCGGCACCGTATTTTAATGCGAAAGTATGAGCACACAGGAAAATAAAATAATTTTCTTTGTTAAAATTCGTTTCAAATTAAATAAGCTCATTTTCTTCTAAAATAAGACGCTCGTTTTAGGAATATTGATATTTCACATATTTTCTTGTTATAATTCTTGTAATAATTAAACAATTATTATAATTATTATAATTCCTTCTTTTGAACCTTCCATGAGTATTTTCTTCAAAGAAGCTATGCGATTTGCGGGTTATCTCCGTAGCTTGATACATTGTTAAATGCCAACGTTTCGTGAACATTACAATTCACTCGTTAGAGCGAGAAACAACGTAATATTGTATCTCTCGCCCTGATGCAATTTTCACGAAACGTTAGCACTGAACAATGTATCAAGCCGTGGAGATAACCCGCAAACCGCATAGCTTCTTTGAAATATTTGTTCAGTTTATATAGTGTTGTGAGAAGTGTTCCGCAAAACAATATAATACATTCATATTTTCACTCGTATTAATACAGTGCCGGAGTTTATTAAAATACTTTTGAATGAACTTGTCAGTTTTAGTCATAAAGACTCCAGCTGTGATCTGAATATTGATTGTATAACTTTTTCACAGAACAGAAAAGTGAATATTTTTATGTATAGATGTACATATACATAAATACATAAAAAAATGTTCATTTTTCATGTTCCCATCCTAGAAAACATTACAAAATTCACCCTGAGTGAAATGTCATCAAATCATTTCGTTTTATGAAATGCTTCGTTTATATTTGTGGTAAACAACAGCAAGTACATAGTAGAGTTAAAAGATACGCAAACGTATCCATATGTATAAAGAAAGGCAGAATAAATTTTCAGTCAAGAGACTCTCGTTTATTATTTCGTATAAAGTACCATCATTATTAAATGTAGTGTATATCATTATTAAATGTAGGTACTCAAAACGATTAATGATTAAAGAAAAAATGTTATAAGAAATTGCAAAGAATTAATTAAAATTTTTTATTTAATTTTACAAACTATTTGAATTCTAATCTTACCAATTGTTAATCGTGCTGTAATCACTTTTAAATTTTTTTTCAAAACAATGCTTTCTATTTATAATGACTTTTTTTCAGACCTCGCGTCAATGCTGGCATAATCTTTCTAGAAATTGATATAATTCCGATTATTTGTGTCTCGATAAGAAAATTTGTTTCACGCACATTCATATGATATACGTTATATATATATATTTCCATCGTAAATAATAAACGTAAAAATGACTCCTACATGTCAATGCTAACGAAGCCAAGAGCTATTGAAACTATATTGCAGTTTCGAACGCTGTTTACGCAACATTTAAAATGTTCACGATTGCTCTGGTAAAAATTTTTCTCAAAATTTTCATATAATTTTAAAAAATTTGTATATAAATTTTAGAATTTTTTAGAGTTTCTGAATAATTTTATAATTCTTTAGAAATTTGCTTAGATTCTTTTAATTGGAATACTTTTTAGAAGTATTGAGAAAGTTTGCACACATAATTTTTCTAGAATTCTTTATTTACTATGAATTCATTATTTACATTATCAAAATACGTTATTTTTAGATTTATAAAATTTCTCACTCTGATGGAATCTTATAAAATCTGAAAAAGTTTAATGTTTTTCAGAAATTACAGAATAAGAAATCTTAGAAATTTTAGAACATCTTACTTTATAATTTTTTTAGTAAATCTCACTCTGAAGACTGAAGCTTTTTTCAAAACTGGCTCAATTTTCAACCTTTATAGAGTGAGAAGCCATTCTAAAGAATTTAGAGAGTAGAATTCACATATATATGGAAAATTCTATGAAACGATAACGTAAACTTTCTCACAATACTTATTTCTGAAAATTATTTTAAAAAATGCGCATAATAATTCAAAGAAAATTTTTCACCTGAGCGCATCAAAGTTAATTACATATTCGAGTGTTTTACCTTTCGCAAGATCGGTAAGAGTCATCCGCCGCTAACGAGATAATCCAGAAGCGAACAGGTGCGACAAGGTACATCCTCGAGCGCAGCGTCATAACCTCGCATCTCGCTGGCGGCGCATTTCGAAGTTGTGTGCGGCCACGAGCTGATACAACGAGCGAAGTCTGCAATCGCGTTCACGAACGCAATTCACAAACACATTCAACGCCCGGCAATCCCGGAATGCGGAATCGCGTGATTCCGACGACGCAGACGATACAGACGATGCAACACACGCGCGAAAATCTCATCAAAAACCATAAAAAACGAACGTCGCCGCGGACGGACTGCCGGCCGGCACGCGACAGTTCGGTTCGTCGGCTGGGGATCACGTGACACGTTCAAGATGCTCCCGCCGGCGATCACGTGACATTAAAAATTGAAACGTAGACCGAATTAGGCTAACTTCTCGTCTCTTGATTTTTTCCTGACACTCTGATTTTTACACGAGGCTATTTGTGTGCACAACGTTTACCGCTGCAGCGTTTTATTTTCGAAGCAAGAATATTGACGTCGATAACGGAAACTATTTTGGCTGTCGCTAAAATTAACGAGCAACAGATAAATATAATTTCGATTGCATTCACGCCGATAGGCCGTTCGTCCGTGGAACTGTAGGTCTGTTTATGTTGCACTTTTTGCACCTTCGATTTTTCTTTTTTCAACGGCCGAATATATATATATATATTTATCCCACTTTAGATACAAACATTTTTCGTGATTTTAAACAACGCGAACAGATCTTACGTATCCTCGAGTAGCAGTCACGTGGCCGTAGCACCATCCGGTATGTACATACACAATTTCAAATCACGCGTGGAACCCGCGGCGACGCAGTCGGGATGTATCGGGAGACAAACACGCGGCGCGTATCTCAACAGATTCAGTTCGGGCACGTCGGCGCCGGCGTTTCGTCGCGTAAAATCTCGAGTGGGGTGTGCGAGCGAAATTAGAGTAATTCCTTCACACACACACACGCGCGATCTGTATCGGCCAACGCTCGCGGTCAGCTTGAACGCGACATGCGGGACTGCGGCACGCGGCAGACACGCGCGCTCGCGCGATCGATAATACAGGTTGCCGCGCGACGCGACGCGACGCGGCGCCGATCGCGTCCGGTTACGGCCGATCGTGCACGAAGGAGCGGGGGGGGGGGGGCGCGGCGCACCTGTACACGTGCGGCGCGAAAAACGGCGTGCCGTTTCTCGGAAATGAAATCGGAGCGGAATCGAAGATTCAGACGCGCGACGGAGGGTCTGATTTTTATAGCCGCGCCGAACACGACGACGCCGTTCGACGCTGTCGACGGAAAACGCGTGACGCGACTGACTGCAAGTCTTGCCACCCTCGCCGATTCATCCCCAGCGTCTCTTCCCCCGCTATCTACCGACGCCCCCTTCGGATTCATTTCGCCCAACGTAGTTCGTCGGTCCGACCCCATGCCGACGATTCGAACGTGCACGCGCGCCGCGCGCCCGGCGTTGTTACGCTCGCCGACGCGACGCTAATTAATGGACCCCTAGCGATGCGCTTTCACCGTAATTGCGGAGATCCGGCACGTTGAGAGATCGAAGTGTAGAATAATCCAAATATATATTTATTTATGTATATTAGGTGTTAAACTTAATTCCTGCCGTTTTTCGTCT